ATGCTTTCGCTTGCATTTACCCGAGGGAAGCGCGTGGCGTTGTATACAACGCCACGTTCACGGGTCTAGCTTGGACCCTACTAAAACTATCGCCAGACCATGTCCGAATTTTAAAAAGGTGATAAGTTGGGTCCAAGTTACTCGGACTAAGTTGGGTCCAAGTTACTCGGACTAATGTTTGTAGGCTATACATAGCCCCACTAGTGTGGCCGCAGTATGCTGCGCTGAACCTCTGGCCACACACCGTGGTACCGCGCCCTACTGAGGACGAAGTTTTCGAAAAAATTACGTTCAGTTTCTTACAAATGGTTGTATTCAATGATGTCTCATCTACATGTATCACTTCTGGGATGCTTAGGTGTAATGATGTTCAATTTTTGAGATTTTCTTGAATTTTTCTGGAGCCGCACTTGTGAAACGTCTGGTGATGGCAGCCATTTTGAATGTGACAAGGGATGACCCCAAGCTGTGACGTCGCTTTTATGCAAATTGCTTGTCGAGCGAGGGCGCGAGTTGCAAATGCGACGGCTGTTTCCTGTACCATGCATTTATCGTCTGGGGGCCATGTGCACTGATCTCTATTCAGGATCCACGGCAAAGGAAACAGCCGTCGCATTTGCAACTCGCGCCCTCGCTCGACAAGCAATTTGCATAAAAGCGACGTCACAGCTTGAGGTCATCTCTAGCTCTTGACACATTCAAAATGGCTGCCATCACCAGACGTTTTACGAGTGCATATGGGCTCCAGAAAAATTCAAGAATATCTCGGAAAATTGAACATCATTACACCTAAGCATCCCAGAGGTGATAGATAAGACATCATAGAAAGAAACTGAACGTAATTTTTATGAAAACGTCCTCAGTAGTGTGCGGTACCACGGTGTGACATGTGTGGCCAGAGGTTCAGCGTTACTCCTAGAACTATGATGCTCCGCGTGAGGGGAGCCTCATAGACACAGAACTCCGCAAAATTGTTTGCAGCACAAAACACCAATTAAGTACAAAAACGTCCATCAAAACAGAGACATTTCCCACAGAACCGCTGCACAGATTGCCCCTAAACTTCGAACAATACCTCATGACATACTCACGTTATGTGCACCCAACAAACATCGGTGGATTCTGTCTGTTTTCGGCAAAAATGATGAAAAATATGCTCTTTCCGCACTGAGCCAACCTAACACTTGAAACGAGCATGTGCGCAGAATGATCGCAGTCATTTTCGGTTCGATCGCTCGGAGCGCGCTGCGGGGGGTATGGTGTAGAGCGGAACGATAGTATGCACATGCGTACAAGTGCAAGTACGTACCCCCCGCGGCGCGCTCCGAGCGATCGAACCGAAAATGACTGTGATCATTCTGTGCGCGTGCACGTTTCAAGTGTCAGGTTGGCTCAGTGCGGAAAGGGCATATTTTTCATCATTTTTGCCGAAAAACAGACAGAATCCACCAATGTTTGTTGGGTGCACATAACGTGAGTATGTCATGAGGTATTGTATGAAGTTTAGGGGCAAACTGTGCAGCGGTTCTGTGGGAAATGTCTCTGTTTTGATGGACGTTTTTGTACTTAATTGGTGTTTTGTGCTGCAAACAATTTTGCGGGGTTCTGTATCTATGAGGCTCCGCTCACGCGGAGCATCATAGTTCTTAGCCCCATAAATGTGGCCTATTTACTGGACTGCCTCCGTAAACATAGGCCACACATCCACATGTAAAAAAAACGTGTCGACTTTGCCAAATTTTGATTTTCACATTTAGGCTTACTTTTTACGTTTTTTTTGCTTTAGAAGCATTCTCACCCTCTATATAGGCTAATCAGAAAGTGCTGCCTTTTTCAGATGTTTAATTTTTGTGAAATTTCATGTTGAAATTTTGATACGCAAACGTGTGCAAATGTATCTGGAAATTTCACGAAAAATGGACATCTGAAAAAGGCAGCACTTTCTGATTAGCCTATGTAGAGGGTGAGAATGCTTCTAAAGCAAAAAAAACATAACAAGTATTGAAGTAAGCCTAAATGTGAAAATCAAAATTTGGCAAAGTCGACACGTTTTTTTTACATGTGGATGTGTGGCCTATGTTTACGGAGGCAGTCCAGTAAATAGGCCACATTTATGGGGCTACATAGTTCTAGGAGTAGTTCAGCGCAGCATACCGCGGCCACACTAGTGGGGCTAGGCTACACATATCTCCAAGGCTCACCTGACAACTTCACTCGAGAATGAAGTCCAGTGCTTCCTTCCGAAGACGTTTGGTCTCCAGCGATAGCCATCACGCAAAACAGCACAACAAATATCCATGCATATGATACACGGCACTGGCATTGAAATAGAACTTGGAACATCAGCATCGTCATCGTGGTTCGTGTTATATCCCAGTACTAGTAGGCCCCCAATGTAGAAAGGTGAATAATTTGTACAACTATTGCCCAACTAGCATGTCCAAATTATACCAAAAAAATAACAGTATAAACACACGTTAACAAAAACGATTTATGAATAGGAACTTAATGAAGACTAACGTTAGACCCGACACTACCCACTTCGTTTACTACTCACGAATTGACTTGAATTACGTGTACATTCGCGATTAGCAAATTTGACAAAAGTGCTCCCTCAACGGTGATTAAGATTTTGATCCATCCAGCTTGCGTCACATGTGCGGTAGCATAAAATGGCACGACAGTAGAGCGCGTGATGAATATGCATGACTATGACGTCACTAGAAGCTCATGAGTAATATATCACGCACGGTACTGATAGATATACATGTAGATGCACACTGTATGTGCTGCATCCCACCGATGATATCACATTTAACAAGTCCTCTTTCTACTGTCGCGCCGCCACCTCTAGTGTCGTCCCACTTACCGACGATATCACATTTAACAAGTCCTCTTTCTACTGTCGCGCCGCCACCCTCTAGTGTCGTCCCACTTACCGACGATATCACATTTAACAAGTCCTCTTTCTACTGTCGCGCCGCCACCCTCTAGTGTCGTCCCACTTACCGACGATATCACATTTAACAAGTCCTCTTTCTACTGTCGCGCCGCCACCCTCTAGTGTCGTCCCGCACACCGACGATATCACATTTAACAAGTCCTCTTTCTACTGTCGCGCCGCCACCCTCTAGTGTCGTCCCACTTACCGATGATATCACATTTAACAAGTCCTCTTTCTACTGTCGCGCCGCCTCCTCTAGTGTCGTCCCACTTGATTATCATCGGTAAGTGGGACGACACTAGAGGGTGGCGGCGCGACAGTAGAAAGAGTGACGTCATAGTCATGCATATTCATCACGCGCTCTACTGTCGTGCCATTTTATGCTACCCACATGTGCGTGCACCACAGATCCCTTTAAAAGTTTAAGCTTTAGCCGGCCTCGTCTGACCATTTTTCGCGCACTTAGTACTTTGACCGATTTTTGTCTTGCATTACGGAGAGAAGCCTTCTGATTTCAGAAGTAATCTTGCATAAACTAAACCCTACACGGTGGACTTGACGTTAATATTGTAAGAATGATTTTAATAAACTACATGGAAAAATAAATTATAAAAATTATTCATAGGCCTAGGCCTATATTCATTATTATTACATAATTCAGTTTTCGGCTTATTTAGGCTTATTTATTTATTTATGTATAATGCATTATTTATGCAATAAATTCAAAATTATCTGGACGGACTGTTTCGTACCATAACTATCAGCCTTTGGTACGAAACAGTCTGTCTAGCCCGACTGCGTCTGGCCGTACAGTAGCCTACTACTAAAACTACTATCGCAAGCTCTGTACTAGTACGGCCAGACGCTCAATGCGTCCCCACAGACTGATTTTTTTTCACTCTGATGTAGCGATTTTGCTACAGATTGAGATCGAGATTATCTTCTCGTCCAGGGCAGAGATATCCAAAGTTAAGGTACCTAATCGTAGAGGAACTCATACCTTTTTGAAAAAACGTTCTTTGGTCCCAATATTTTCATCCATCTGGCCAAAAGACGACTTTCAGTCATCATTTCCCACAAATATCGTCCTGAAAATGTCCTCCCATGCGATTTCAAAATGGCGGCCGCGTTGTAATGTATGCATTATGCGGGCGTGCTTGATGCTTGATGCATAATGAATATGCATCATAGTTTGTCGGGCGCGCGGCGCGACTGGCCATATAAACACGAGGTCATGAACTAAATAATGTATATTCATTATCTTGCCCAAGTGCGCCCGCATAATGCATACATTACAACGCGGTCGCATGAAGGACATTTTCGGGACGATATTTGTGGAAGATGATGACTGAAAGTCGTCTTTTGGCCAGATGGATGAAAATATTGAGACCAAACAACGTTTTTTCGAAAAGGTATGAGTTGCTCTACGACTAAGAACCTTAACTTTGGAAATTTTTGTCCTTGATGAAGATATAATCTCGATAAAAATCTGTAGCAAAATCGCTATATCAGAGTGAAAAAAATTCAGTCTGTGGGAAAGTATTGAGCGTCTGGCCGTACTACAGAGCTTTCGATAGTGCTGTACGGCCAGACGCAGTCGGGCTAGGCATCAATACACTCTCGTCAACTTCTAGTTTAGTCCCTGGTGTTCCGGTGAACTGTTCAGGAGTTTGATCTAGTACAAGGCATCAGGTACAAGCTTAGGTTCACGGCCCTTGGCTTGAGGTATAAATGCTCGGAGCAAACGCACAACACAATGAATTCACTTTACAGTCACTTTGCCCCATCCCCACTTCGCCCCATCCCCACTTTGCCCCATCCCCAGCCTCGACTCCAGGGGCGCGTGCTCGTTCCTTACACTATCCCCTGGCTGTGATGATGACGTAAATGACGCTGAATGGATATTCACAGCGTGCTGCGCGCGCATTTCGAAAATTGCACGCTGGGTGCTAGGTCGCTCGCGTGCTTTGCACGTAACGTCACGTACAAATATTCAAAACTGCGCGATGCCTGTACGTTATGGATTATGGCAGCCTCGTTTTTTTTGCTAAAAAAACCCCTGTATCTGGGGTTGTAAAGGGACGAAAGGGGTACGTATCTTTAATACAAATCTTTTCTAAAATACACATTGTCCAAACCTTATGTTTGAAAGCATTGATTCTTCAATAACACAACTTTCAACAGTTTAAAGATGGCGTCGGCGCCAAAAAAAAAGGAGAAAAAAGGAGAAAAGGAGAAAAAAAAACAGACCCAGACACGCAGACGCCTGCATATGATCATAAACAAACAAAAAAATGGCCAAAAAAGAAAATTTCCCTACATGTACATTCCTACCCTATTTTCGAATGCCATCGCATCCAGAAGCAGAACTGTTGTTTTGTTTTTTGCCTGAAACTAAAAGCCGTTGCCAGTGGCAAAAACGATGTCACACCGTGCACCGCCGGACAGCCACGTTGACCAGCCATTGCGCGCACGATACGGCGGGCCCGGCAAAAAAACTCATCTTTCCATCCAGTCCCGGACACTTGTGCCCTTGAGCAAGGCACTTAACCATTGTTGCTTTGTCCTTCGGATGGGACCTAAAGCCGGAGGTCCCGTGTGTTGTATAAGGCCCAATGCACGTAAAAGAACCCAGTAACACTTATCGCTAAGAGAATTAAGGGTTTGCCCCGGTGTTTCTGGCCTCCTAGTTATACTCCCTTGTGGAAGTCCTTAGGAGAAGAACCAAGTACATGTACATGTAGAACTTTCATGTTGAAATTTTGATACGCAAACGTGTGCAAACGAATCTGGAAATTTCACGAAAAATAGACATCTGAAAAAAGGCAACACTTTCTGATTAGCCTATAAAGGTGAGTGCTTCTAAAGCAAAATTAAACTACAAACTAAGCCAAAATGTGAAAATCAAAATTTGACGAAGTTCTACATGTTTTTGTACTGATGTTCCAAGTGCGGCCTTTATTTACGGAGGTAGTCCAGTAACTTGGCCACATTTATGGGGCTAAAGTTCTCCGAGCATGTCTATTTTCACAGGCTTCGATCACGGATTAAACCACACCACCGTCGGATTCGTTTATAATATAAGGAAGAGTTATATAGCACAAACGTATGGTGTTCTGTCACCTGTCCTGTACACTTTGTATACAAATGATCTCACTACTCTGGAAACATCACATAGGATAATTAAGTATGCCGATGACGCAGCTATTGTTGGCTTTCTGGATGGCAAACAAGAATCTCGAGATTGTTTTACTGGTGAGGTGGCACAATTTACTCAGTGGTGTGATGATAACTATCTAGAAATCAATATCAACAAAACCAAAGAGATGGTGATTGATTTTAGGAAAAAGAAATCTCCAATTACACCAGCTATTATTAAAGGCAAATGTGTGGAAGCAGTGTCTGTATACAAATACTTGGGAACTGAAATTGATGACCAACTGAAATTTGACGCATGTACCAAATCAAAATATAACAAGCTGCAACAACGTTTGTTTTTTCTGCGCAAACTCAAGTCTTTTCACGTTGATAAAACTATTTTACAACTGTTTTACAAGTCCATTGTACAGAGTATTCTCACATTTTGTCTTGTTTGTTTTTACGGAAATATGAGGTGCCAGGATCGGATTAAGCTAGACAGAATAGTTAAGCAAGCCAGTAAAGCTATTGGTATACAACAAGAGTATCCAGAGGCATTATACAAGTCTCTTATGTGCAATAAAACTATGACAGTTCTCTCCGACTCACATCACCCATTGCATGCTGACTTCCAAACGAACTCCAGAAGTAATCGCTTTTTACAACGAAGGATCAGGACACGGCGATACGGCAGTTCATTCGTTCCAGCAGCTATCAAATGGTACAATGACCAACTGGAACGATGAACTGTCGTTTGGCTGCCACTGATTCCTCATTAATGTAATGAAATATGTGTATTATATGTAGTAGTTTGTTTTTTACATGTAATTTCTGGATTTATAAGTTTGTGGTAACTACATTGCATGTTTACATCTTTTTTGTTTATATCATAATTAATGATTGTATGTTTTTATAACCCGTTCTTTGTCAAGCCATTTTAATTTCCCTCCTGAGGGATAATAAAGTTCAATCTTATCTTATCTTATCTATAGACGCCAAATCTGCGTCGCGTCGTGCTTTCACGTCGTGTCGTACCGTCGCGTCGTCCGTCGCGTCGTGCCGTCGCCCGTGCCGTCACCCGTCGCGTCGTGCCGTCGCCTCTTAAATTACCGTTTCTAAGCACGTACACTGCATGAGGAAGCGACGCACCTTCACACGTCGCGTCGTCCGTCGCGTCGTGTCGTCGCCCGTCACGTCGTGCCGTTGCCTGTTACCTCGGCGCTTCTAAGTAGACTGCTTGAAGAGGCGACGCACACATTGCCCGTCGCGTCGTGCCGTCGCCCGTCGTGTCATGCCATCGCGTCGTGCCGTCGCCCATCGCATGACTATCTTTCTTGGCAATAGGTGGTGCCTTCATTCTTCATGTACCTGTACTGTATTTATGACATGCGTGCCGTGCGGTGAAAGTGTTGCAAATTGCTATGTCGTACAGTTTGTACACGGTTTGTGGGGAGGCCTATTATTAGTGGTTGCGGAGGTCCGACTCAATCAATTTCAAAATACATAGACTTTTTTCTGCTTCCGATTGTCAAACGACAAAGCACATATACACGCGATTCCGGGCATGTGCTTGAAAAACTAAACAACGTGACATTGAAGCAGGATAGCCTATTGATCACATTGGATATTGTGTCCATGTATACGAACTGCCCTCAAGATGAGGCAATTGAATCAGTTTGCGATGCACTTGAAGTTGCCGATAACAGTCTGTACGCAATACCCAAACCTACAAGAGAACACGCTCGCTGTCTCCTGGAACTTATCATGCATTGAAACGTATTTGAATTCAATGGGAAGTTCTTCAGACAGAAAATTGGCGTGGCTATGGGATGCGAATGCAGTCCAGAAATATGCGATATAACCCTGTTCAAATATGAAAAGAAATTATTCTCCCACACAATCCTTCAATTGTGAGTTACATGAGATACAGGGACGACGTCTTAATAATAATTAACGGTAACGAAGACCAAGCCGGTGACCTCGTCCAAACTCTAAACCAAATTCATCCCACGCTCAAGTTCACGTCAGAGATTTCAAACAGTCAAGTCACCTTCCTCGACCTCGTCATCTACAAAGGCGAACGGTTCAAAAAAGAAGGGAAACTGGATACTCGAGTAGCAACCAAAAAAACTGATACCTTTCAGTATCTTGCTCGAGATTCAGCCCACCCTGAGTCAGTGTTTGGCAGTTTGATTAAGGGAGAATTAATGAGATATGACCGTATATGCACACACTCAAAATAATTTGAGGAGAAGGATGAATTCTTCAAAGACAAACTTCAAAAACGCGGATACAACCAAGAAGACTTAGCCCTTCTTCCCCAAAAAGGCGAAACTCGCGTGAACTCTAAAAACTGTGCAAAAACCGAAAAGAATATCCCGCTGGTCTTTGGTTTACCCTACAACCCACAAATTAAACACCCAGCTCTTAAGCAGGCCCTTCTGAAACACTGGAATCTGATCAGCGATAATGATTTTCTCAGTGCACTCTTTGCGACCCAACCCATCCTGGCATACAAACGACAAAAAAACCATAAAAGATGGCCTGGTCCGATCAAGGATTAACCCATCTCCACCATCCAACCAAGAAAAAAAACTTGGATGAGGAGAACGTACAAGTCCTATTGGAATTTCTTGAAGAACAGAACTAACATAATGGTCATTTAGGCATGGATTTCGAAATAAAAATAAAAAATAAGGAATCCACTTAATCTATCATTACAAGTAATGCTAACGCGTAAAATATTCTTAACCATCATTAGCATTAAAGTAAATACGTATAAAAGAATTAAACAAAGGGTGACTGATGAAGTGCGTAAAAAGGGCACAGAAAATATGCACTGGTTTCCCCCGACACACAAAAAAAGAAAAAACAGGTGGGACGGCATATTATCACTGGTATAAATCAAATCATTAAGTGAACTAGAAACAAAAACCACATGTACACAAACCAGTCCCTGTGTGGCCTAAACAACGGATGAGTTTTTTTAAACTCCCGCTCTCCGGTTATCACCAATCTAATGGGCCCACTGGCGAGGTATGTTTGACAAGTTGTAACCCACCCATCATCGCAACCCAGCAGTGGAACTGATGTTACTCCCTATATGCGTATTGAATTTCCAAAAAAAGAAAAAAACCTTAACAAATACGCTCTAGGCAGTTTAGTCGTATACTTACACAGGTATCCATACCAGTGCTTCTAAGTCTTATTAAAGAAACGGAAATCTTCCCTAGCTGGTTGCAAATACAATGTTTTCAAAAAGATTCATCAGCTCGCAGAGCCCCTCGTACTCCAATTTTATCATACATCCCATAAAAAGACAAGAATGAGAAACGGCCCAACCTCGTGCCCCGTTTTGGTGTGAATATTAAAAGATGTAATTGGCTAACCCACCAAAAATTGAAAAGAAATAGGCAGATGAAGGACAAGACAATAATTTAATTTTTGTTTGAGAAACCCAAGTGATGTCGACGTGCATGTTATTTGGCCCTGAACTTTGTTGATTTTACACTGTTTTCAATGGGGCTTCAATTGGTTCAGTGCACCCTGTATTTCCAACATGGCTTCGTCCGCACATTGATGCTGGCGGGGATTTAAAAATGGCTTCTCTTGTTTACGTTAGTTGTAGCAGTGCTAAAGAGACGAGATCAAGCAATCGGGAGACAGTTTTCTTGGTTGTGACACATCAGGGACATTTTATTGCTGGCAAAACCTCTCAAAAAGGTACAGAAACGTTTAAAAACACATGATAATTATATACATTGGTTTAGTGAACAAAATTTGCAACATGACTTTGTGAAATGATTGTTAATTTCTACAAAAGAACAAACTGGTAAGCCAATGAGATTCCATAGTCTGAATGAACAAAATGGAGGCAGATAACATTGAAGTCTGGTGTGGCAAAATGGCTGCCAAACTCAAGAAGAAATCTCGTTTTAAGCCATCCACAGGCTGCTGGCTGTGGGTGGGCAGCACCAAAAAGGCCAAGGGGAGAGGTGGAAATTATGGACGGATGAATGTCCATATTCCTGGATGGAAATCACGAACAAGGATGAGTGTACACAGGATGGCTTATATCGTACACACCAAGAATTTAACAATTCTTTGCCACAATTCCTTGTGCGTTAATTTCGACCACCTCTCCCTGGAACCACACGCCGTAAACAATGCGAGGAAAAAGTGCCACAAACAGAAGGCTTGTACGGGGCACGGGCAACACCCAAAATGCATGTGCACATAATGTAAGCTGATATTCAGACTATGTAACTGGCTAACCCTAGCTCCAAATCCAACCTTAACCCTAACCAAGCGTAACCCTAGCGAGGGCTAACCCTAGCGGAGGGTAACCCTAGCGGAGGGTAACCCTAGCGGAGGGTAACCCTAGCGGAGGGTAGCCCTAGCGGAGGGTAACCCTAGCAGAGGGTAACCCTAGCGGAGGGTAACCCTAGCTAAGGCTAACCCTAGAATCGGAACGTAACCCTAATTTGAAACCTAACCCTAACTAAACCAAACCCAGTGGAACTGCCATTTTTTGTTTACAAGAACATTTTACAGTAATTGTGTTCGTAGTAGATATTTGGCTGCGGTTCATTGTCTTTTTGCAGGAATTCATGATTAGGCCTTGGATTTAATTGTCCTTTCTTATACATGGTCTGTGTAGTATTAGTACGCATGGAATCTCTCACCACGGCATTGTGCTCGTCGTTTCCTATATTTCTGTGACTTTGCGCGTTTCTTATGATATTTCTGGGTTTTTTTTCCATTTCAGCAAGAGCACTAGCTGCAGTGGAGCCACTGGTTATGGGACATCCAACTGCTTGGCATTTCTTGATGATTGAATTGGCGTGCCTGTTATTAACGAGATGAATGGCGCTGTGATCTCTAGCTGCAGCGTTCTTTGAAAAGGTTAGCGATCCTTTGGGGTTGGTCATCCCAAAGGCATGATTTACAGATTCTGTCTTCTGCGTACTCATGCCGTACTTCGTTTTTTTCCAATGCCTCGTGTCCCACTCGCTTTTCTAAAATTGTCTTTAGAAGGAGCTCATCCTTGGTGGATAAATTTAGTTTGCCCCTAGTGCTGCGTGACATATATGGGAAGCCATAATTACCATTGCAAATTTGGGAACATTTTTGCATAGACTGTGATCCCCCATATAGCATTTGGGGATAGCATTTGAAGCCTTAGCTGCCATGGTTTTCATTTTATCAAGTTGCCCATCAGATTTTTTAAGAATTGCAATGGCCTCGGCCTGTGTCCTATGACTAACATCATCAGCAAAACGATTTTGCAGTTGTTTTCTTAGTCTGGCACTTCTGCCGGGGAACATATCTGAACTGAATTTTGCCCGACTGATGGCAGAGCATAGCGATTTGTTCAAATGCGACGGATCAAGTTGTTGTACAGTTTCAAAACCAGTTCTAGTTTTCATCTGTGTGTTCAAGCCTGCTGCCAGACCTCCATCTGCATCAGTGGTGACACTGTTGACTTGCAGGGGCTCTTTGCATTTCAAAAGTTTTTCAGCACATCGTAGTCCCCCTTCTCGCTCGTTTCCCATGTTGAAGTGAGGGGGGCGTGTCGCTGTACATCCTGCGTGGTTAGGGCACTTTGTTGGTTCTCCTTTGGCTCGCCTCATTTCTCTGCTTTTGCACAGTTTGTTTTCGTGATGGAACATGATGACATATTTTGAAGATGTCACATTTTCACACACCGTGTCTCTGGTTTGTGTGGCAGGCACAAAGAGACTTTTTTTTCCTAGAGTGTCTGAGCGGATTGTTGTATTGTCTCAACAGCAATTGGACTCTCCTTTTGAAATCCCTGCATCTCATGGACATCTTTTACAATTTTCCTCTTTGCAGCCATGTCGTCCATGTTCTCCCGAGTTATTATTTGACCACATTTGTTTGCAATTTTTTGCAGTCCTTTGGTTGAGGGAACAGTCGTGTCCATAGCAGTCAAGAGCCTCCGAGCACCTGCAGCTGCGATGCCAGTATTGTAGAGTCCCACCCGGAATGCCATGTTGGGAGTAGCAGTCTGTCGTCCAGGTCCATTTTGAGGTATTTCGGTGTAAAGTTTTTGTCTCTGTGTTGTGAATCCACATTTTTGGCAGTACATTGCTTCAGATACGGCTAAACCTCTGCACTCCTCTGCCTCTGTCATTAGTTCAGGATGACCGTCACACTCAGGATGCGATCTTTGATGGTCAAGTACAGCCTGTGCTCCTAGCTGTACAGCTGACTGGATGTTCACGAAACGGTATCCTCCTTGGTGATTTGTTCCACTCTTGGGTTGGGAGTGCCCTATTTTGTGCTCGGGTTTTCCACTCTTGGGCTGGAGCTTGTCAACTGGAGTAATTTCTGCAGATTTTGGTCGGAGCAACATTACATTTCTGCACTTGGCCTCGGCTGTTGGCAGTGGCTGGCTGAGAAACCCTCGCTCATCTGTGGGAACAGCTAGTTCAAGCTGCTCATAAGTTGGTCTAACATACTTGGGGAGTTCCAGGTCTTCAGCACACTACATTTTTTTTGGAGACAGCTCATGCTTTGGTTTGAACCAAGTTTTTTTCATTTTGAAAATTCCTCGTCTAACTCGACCCATCGTGCAAGAAAATAATTTCAGTCTTGTTGAATGTTTTTCATAAGGTTGCTTCAAATGATATGGTCATCCCAATACTAAATCAGACTTATATACAATTTCTCAGCATTTTACTTGGGTACTTCTGAGAACTCATTTTCCAAGTGAAGGTCACAAGATACGTCAGTCAGTGCATGTGTCCTTATGCCACTTGGAAAGGCTGTTGTATCCCGGGGGGCAATTACCTTATTTGTTTCTATGTGTTGTCAAGGTCACTTTTCAATTGTGGAACTCTTAGCAATTCATCTTTTTGAAATACATCCTAAGATGTTCAGTTGCAAGATTGTGATGGTAAAACATTCAAATGCCCCCTTCAATTTAACTGTGAAAATGTTGAGGACAGAATTGTTCACACTTTGATTTTATTTCATATATGATTGTGGTGCATGGGTGGTGGTGGTGGTGGAATTCAAAGGGGGGGGGGGTGTCAATTGAAATCTCGAGTGCTAAGTAAAACCTGCCATGACTATGAAAAACATTCTCCACCCTTGATGATATTTGCTTGTCATATTGAACCCCACCCCTACACCCCACCCCCTCCATAAAAGGGAAAAGTAAATATAATATTCCAAAAATTCAAGTGAGAATTTCTATGCCAGCCAATTAGCATAAAAAGTGCCCCAGAATTTCTTTTGAAAAAGGAGAAACTTTGGCTCAAAAAAGGGTTGAATTGTGTAAATATAGCCGAGGATCAACTCCCCATTTTTTGGGCTTCCATGTGAGAGCAAATTTGATAAAATCACGGTTGAAAAATGGGTCCTATTTGCCCGAGAAAGTGGATGGACGCCATTTGTAAAATGGCTGCATGCACCCTTGGGAAGTATCACTTTCCGGGGGGTGAGTAAGTTTTGGTGTGAATATTAAAAGATTTAATTGGCTAACCCACCAAAAATTGAAAAGAAATAGGCAGATAAAGGACAAGAAAATAATTTAATTTTTGTTTGAGAAACCCCAGTGATGTCGGCATGCATGTTATTTGGCCCTGAACTTTGTTGATTTTACACTGTTTTCAATGGGGCTTCAATTGGTTCAGTGCACCCGTGGGTACATTCTTGCAGTGCCATGTTGTTTCCCATCATGCGTTGCGCGATTGTAACCCCTGGAATTGTGTAATTTAAATATACCAAAATACGGTATATTATAATTAGGGCTGCAGTTTATCCGTTTGACGTGCCTACACCATCTTTAAAATGTTAAAAGTTGTAATTTTGAAGAATCAATCCTTTCAAACACAACGTTTGGACGTTGTGTTAATTAGCAAAGATTTGTATTAAATGTACGTACCCCTTTCTTACCTTTACAACCACTGATACAGGTTTTTTTTAAGCGAAAAATGCGGCTGACATAATCCATATCGTACAGGCATCGCGACTTTTGAATCATAATTTTCTTTTCGTACGTGACGTAACGTGCAAAGCTAAGCACGCGAGCGCGAGCGCGTGCAATCTTCGAAACGCCCACGCAGTACGCTGTGAATAGCCATTCAGCGTCATTTACGTCATCATCACAGCCAGGGGTTAGTGTAAGGAACGAGCACGCACCCCTGGAGTCGAGGCTGGGAACGGCCCTGCTGATGCTGATAGCAAATCCCATCCTCCTCCCTTGTTTTAAACCCTTATTCACGGCGGCAACTTTCTTGGAATGACTTTGGAACTTTCCAACAAGTTATTAGCATCAACAGATTGTTCCCTGAATTTTGCTCGCACAAAACCGGTTCTTCCTTGCTATTTTCCTAGCCAGAAAACCACTTTTTTTTAAGAAAACACAAGTCTGATAAAAACTTTAATGCATGGTGGCGGCCAAACTCCATTCCATTTAACTGAAAATGTAGTGGCGACCTGTATGATTATGCCCCTTCCTATTAAACACAAGTACATGACGAATGAAGGCGCCAGTTATTGCCAAGAAAGATACAGTCACGCGACGGGCGACGGCACGACGCGACGGCACGACGCGACAGGCGACGGCACGACGCGACGGGCAATGTGTGCGTCGCCTCTTCAAGCAGTCTACTTAGAAGCGCCGAGGTAACATGCGACGGCACGACGCGATGGGTGATGGCACGACGCGACGGGCGACCGCACGACGCGACGGGCAATGTGTGCGTTGCCTCTTCAAGCAGTCTACTTAGAAGTGCCGAGGTATTACAGGCAACGGCACGACGTGACGGCATGACACGACAGCACAACGCGATGGACGACGGCACGACACGACGTGTGAAGGTGCGTCGCTTCCTCATGCAGTGTACGTGCTTAGAAACGGTAATTTAAGAGACGACGGCATGACGCGACGGCATGACACGACGCCACGACGCAACGGTCGACGCGACGGACGACGGCACGACGCGACGCCACAACGCGACGGCACGATGTGAAAGCACGACGCGACGCAGATTTGGCGTCTATAGAACACCCTAGGCATGTGTTATTTACATTGGCGTACACTACTTACATTAAAACTTACATTAAAACTTACATTAAAACATTAAAACCCAATCACTTCTGCATATTTCTTGATTATTGTATAATAAATTACGATCATATTTGTTGTGCTGACAATCCTGTTGTCCAGGTGTACTTGTTGTTGGTTTATTGTGCGATTATTAAACAGAGGGTAATCACAATCATCATAATCGGCGGTATATTTCCTCCCAAACGGACCTGCTCCCTAAGCCTTGAGGTCGCTCTGAGTGGTCTCTCATCTTGGGAAGCTTGGGTTCGGGAAGATCAGCTACACTCTAATAGGTGTCAGACTTGGTCCCACTAACTTAGGTTTGGCCCGGGGAGATCCCCGCCACACTATATATACCAAAATTTATGAAAGGAGCCAGCGTTCGATTCCAAGAGCTTTTTAAGAAATCGCCCAAAACCAATGATGAAACGGCGAATTAGAAAATGTGTTTTAAAATCTGGTTCCTGTATAGTATTTTGTGCATTCTAGAACCATGAGGTTGGAGTCTGTGACACGTTGTATATTTGTACTTGACTGCTATTCGCAAAGTAAGGTGAGCATACATTTTGCACCGTAAGTCATTGCAAATACTTTTCGCAAAGTTGCGCTTTTATTTTGGTGACTCGAGTCTTATTAGGCTTCGCTCGAGTCGAGTCGAGTCTTCTGGTGAGGGAATCGAGTCGAGTCGAGTCATTTGCTTGCAGTGACTCGAGTCGAGTCGAGTCATTTACCCTTAGGGACTCGAGTCGAGTGGATCTCACCAAAAATTGTGACTCGAGTCGGACTCGAGTCGAGTCATTGACTCGAGTCATTACAACTCTGCCCTTTACAACTGCAGATACAGGGCTTTTTAACGAAAAACGAGGCTGCCATAATCCATATCATACAGGCATCGCGCAGTTTTGAATATTCGTACGTGACGTGACGTGCAAAGCACGCGAGCGCATTATGGGCGCACCCGGTGTGCAATCTTCGAAATGCCCGCGCAGTTATGCTCTGAATAGCCAGTCAGCATCGTTTACATCACGGCCAGGGGTTAGTGAAGGAACACGCACGCGCCCATAGCCTTTAGTCAAGTCCCACGCGCTTACCCGGACACGTGACGCACCCCGGATGCTGACACGTAAAAAGCCTAGCAAGAGCGGCGAAGCCGCGAGGGCCTTTAACCATCTCATGGAGAACGCTTATGTTTTTCTTTACATTTGTCTGTCGATTTGGTAGACATGCATAATGCATTACCCATTGTGAATTGACCAATGAAAATGCAGAATTACTAACATAAATCAGCTGTCGTCTGGCGCCAGACAGCACTCGAGTGATATGGCGCGCGTGCTGTTGCTGGTAACCGCAAACCACCGTTAAATGATAAGTTTATATTGCTTAATTTATATTACGTGAATAAATAAATAAGTGATTAGTTCCACGAGATAGGAAAGGCCCTTGCAGCTTCGCCGCTCGTGCTAGTCTTTTTACGTGCCAGCATCCGGGGTGCGTTACGTGTCTGGATGGTCCGGGTAGAGGCGCATGGGACTTGACTAAAGGCTAACGCGCCCATGGAGTGGAGGCTGCGGTCATTCACCCGTTGCACGTCATAGACAATGGATAAAAAAAAAACTTGCGTCACGCGCTCTGTTATCATGTTACGGGCATAGATATAGAATAAAAAGACTAGATCGGCAGCGCTGCATACGCACGGCCTTGCATGGAGGGTCACGCGCTGGAGGATAGATACAAATTGTGCGCTAGATGTGACGAACGCAACGCTGTTTACGCGCACATTGCGAGTTTATTTTCTGCTACTTGAGACCTTCAATGCTATTTGTAGCGGCCTCCGGCGCCTACCTTTTCTCAACACGAGAGGGCGCACTTCATCTTCAAGACTGACTCGAAGCGAGGAAAGCACATTTTCAAAGAAGCCATTTTTGTCACCCACTTTTGTTAAGAATTCACAATTTAACAGTTCAAACCATCGATCTCAGTCCTTATCGAGCCGACCGCTCCTTACCTTGACACCCCCTCTAAGACCCACAGTCACATAAGTTGATTTCTATGTTATTACTGTTTTTTTCTAGTGATTTTTCTTCAGTGGCCTGTGGTTTAACGTTAAACTTTGGTCTCATATTATTAACGGCCAGCCCTAGTTTTACGGTTTTTAAGTAGTTCTAGTTGGATTTTAGATCCCAGTTCTA